ATTCATTTCAATAAGCACTCGAGCAAATGATATTCGATCAACCTTAGTAGTGCATTCATATGCTTATAATGGTTCCCCTAAACCACTGCTAATCCTACTCAAGGAGTCCTTACTCCAGCAACTCAGAGGCAAATTGGGGTATTTCACCCAAATTGGTACTGTCTGTAACACTTCCTTGTTGAAATGAAACTCAGGACTCCAAACCTTCACAATAATGGGTTGATTATCTAGAAAGTGTGGTCCTGAGTACAACACTTTATTTCTATCATCCATATTAGCAAATCGCACTAAAAAGTATCCATCATTATGGTAGTACACCTTAGGCTTACTCATAGTATTAACTTGCAAAGTTATGTACCCTTCCATCGCAGCTATGGTAGGTGATTCCCCTACAACATAGAGAATGAGGGATTGCGTCAACTCCTCTATTGGTTTGTCAATTTCTTCCTTCTTCAGCTCAATTACTTTTTCTCCGTTCTTCATGACTGGAGTTATATAGCTCAGGTTAATCCCTTTAGATGACAGCCTACTTGAGTTGAAAATATTATATCAAATTTTTCAATCTCTCTTTACCCAAAACCTCAGATTCTCACCCATTTCTCCCTTGGTTTCAGCCTTGTGTGTGTATCTGTGTGTCTCATATTAGAACAGGCAAATTTAAACATTCTCAAATACTTGGCCAGGTCAAATTCTCTATCAAATTCAATTTTGAGGACAATAATTCAATTCGTTTGGTTTCAGTATTCAAAGGAACACTTCCCTCTGCATTTCTATCTTTCATTTGTTTCCTTGGTTCGAATTCATCATTTTGCTTTAGAAATAGCATAAGATCAAGATGGAGGTGCAATGACTTCTGATTTCTTGAGATAAGGAAGGTTCTATTGTTTGGCCAAACAAGTTTCAAGAAAATAGAAGATGGAAATGCAAAAAATTGGAATTTCTTTTCCTTGTCCTACTTCAAAGAAAGAAGAAAATATTTGGAACTTTTGTGGATAATTTCTTGAAAATGGGAAGCAACCTTGCAAAATACTGAAGGATGCTGATAAGCAGAAGAAAATGGTGATTATGAGAGAAAAATTGGTGACTTTGAATATATATTAACAGTTCCTTTGACTTGACATGATGAGAAATATTTGTTAATGGTATTGTTATTTTTCTTCTATTTCCATTAATTGCTAGCGAAGGCCTAAGTAACTGTTATTCTCATAATCTCAATGCATCTTTGTCTTTCTAGTCCTAAAGTTTGATGTTGACTGGCGATGTAATTGTGCGCATTATGGTTTCTTAAAGAACTATTTAAAAGTCTCTTGCAAGACTTTTTCAAACTAAAGACTGGGTCATGGACTGGACGATAGAGGGTAATCGTGATAAATAAGGAGATTTTGGAATTTTAATCCAAATTAGATTAGTATAGGAATGTGGAATAAGAGGTGGACCCCGGTAGGACGGGGAGACAAAGATAAAGATGGTGGCATATGAGTCCACAATTTGGACTCATTTAGGACTTTATTTTAATAGAATTAGTGTCTTCAAATGCATATATTGTCTCAATAACTTATGAAAATCCTTAAGTTTCAGGTATTTGGATTTTAAGGCAAAGCATGGACACTACTTGGCAAAAAGGAATAAAACGGCTGAAAAGACGAAGAAAAGAAGGCTTGAGGATCACCTAATGCATTCGGTGAGTCACCGAGAAGCCTTAACCTCGCCCAAAGTTCCAGTGTGCTGAGCCCTGAAGGAAAAGATCAAGTTGGCGATGAAAAAGAGCAATTGACGTGTCACCGAGCAGTTCCGCGAAGCAGTACTATATTCCCCAATAATTCAGAACGCGAAAATGCTGAAGGAAAGAGCTGAAAGGCGATGAAGCAAACCAAAGGGCGGATCACCGAGTGCATCGGCAATCCCGAGTAACTGCGTCGAGTGATCCTTCGCAGCACATTTTTAGACAATTATAAATACTAGTTTAAATTTTTATTTTAGTATGCAATTTCAGATACAACATTTTGTTTTTCTAAGTTTCAAGTAGAGAGACCTTGTTCTTAGCTTTTAAAGATTTGAAGACTTCCAATTCCAAGAAATTGAAAGTGGGTGTTAAAGAATCTTCATCCTAGACTCATTTAAAGTGTAAATAAATCATACCCAGTTGATGTTACTTCGATTTGGTATCATTTTCTTCCTTTTTTCTATGTCTAGCTAAAACCCCAATTCTTAGGGTGTGATTTTGTGAATATGGGTTAAATTTACTGTTGGGTGTTTCTTAGTTTTGGTATATTCGTTGTTTTAGTATATTCGCTGCTTAAATATGATTTCGTTTAGTAGTTGTGTTTGAACTTAATGATATTGTAGTTGCAAATATGATTTCATCTTAGTGTTTTTGGCTTACTCGAGAGAAAGGTTTTAAAACTAAGACTACTAAATCGATAGCCGGTGGTTATTGGGTCATCGTGGTTCAGCTCGAGAGAGTGAATCCTAGGCCCTCTCCCACACTTTTCAGCTCGAGACAGTGAATGGGCTAAGGTGGAGGCTGTGCTTAAAAGTGGCAACTCGGTGTTCAAGAGAAACCAAAGTTGATTCGGGGTAAGTTGCTTGAGAGAGAATTTACCCCCACTAAAGTCTAGCCTAGTTACAAATATTAAGCGATGTACTATCAATAGCATTTACCCGATAGTGTCTTTTATCCCATATTCCCATCACATCCCAAGAATCCCATCTCCCTATCTCGTTTTCGTATATTTTTGTTGTTTTTTGTTGATTAGCTAATACAAACCCCCCTTGATAATTGACACTTGCGTCACCCCTTAGATTTAGTATGTTTTTATTCGTTAATATTTACATCTATGATTGATTAGAGCTTGATTTTACATTTCTATTAATTCTCGAAACCACTCCCTGTGGGAACGATCCCAACCCTTGGTTGGGTTATATCACTGCACGCGATCGTTGGCACTTGAAACGAAGTAGTGTCCTGATACGCCAAGTCAAAATAGAGCCGCTACCAGGAAGTGGTGTTAGTTGAGAATTGTTAGTTTAGTAAAAAAATTGTTCTTCTTAGTCGTAGTTTACTTAATTTTAGTTTTGTTTTGTTTGTTTGTGTAAATATTTCAGAAAGTATGAGTGTGAACGGCAGCAATAGCAGCCAAGTAGGCCATCAAGACAATATCGGAAACCTTAACGATGTAAATGAGCCTCATGTTAATGACCCCCATCTCATGGGCGGTATTGGTGCCATTCGTTTGCCCCCATCTAGGGCTATCTTATTTTTAAGAATGCATTTTTTACTTTCAGAGTCTTGCTTATTCTAGGCCCCAAAAGACATTTTCAACATCAAAATCTTGCATAATTAAGAATGACCTCATTTGATGCCATTGACTTCTTTCCTACTCCTCAGTGTGCAAGGTCTTGCCTTCCACTGCAAGGAAAAAATAAGCTAAAGGAAAAGTAGAGTTTAAAAATGAAAGAAGAAATAACATGCTTGCACTCAGGAAAATCTTGTTTCCTGCTTTCCTTGGTGGTTTTTCATTTTTAGCTGACAATAAAAGCTTAAAAAATTGCATAAAACGGGGAGTGGCAAGTTTTGAACACATGACCTCATGGGTACAAAGTGGTATTCACATTTATCACTTCATAGAGTAAGCTTTACCAAATAGGGCATTTAATTTATATTTATACATTAGTTCTATGTGTTTTAATAAAATTATCGGACGAAGCGGTATTGTGTGACATACTTTGACTAATGTGCATCTTCCCTTAGTGGTGTTCCTGTTGTCTTCAAATCTTGGGTTCGTGGCTGATCCAACTATATGTGTCCCTGCTTTTCTTTGTTGCTACTGCATTATCTTGATAATATGACCTAACATGACCTTTATGAATTCTTGCAAATGACTATTGATTACATAGCTGGATAGAAGAATGACTTGTTTATGCTGAGATATGGTTTCTCATCGCCTGTGGTAATGCCATTTTTCTTTACTCTTCCCAGAAAATAGAAGTTGTGTCATACTTTTTCTACTGAAAAGTATGAAATTCCAACTCGAAGGCTCTAGTACTACTGATTTTGCGTAGTAATATTTATTGTTGTAGTCCTTTTTAAAAGCAAGGATGTAACAGTAAATGACTGGCAAGAAATTGTTGTAAATGGACATTCACTGTCTACTATCAAGCCCTGACAAGTGTAGATGAATTTTGAAGATGAGATAAACCAAAAAGTGAAAGGGAAAACGGTTAGAGTGAGCAAAGAATTTCTTCTAGTTATTGTCCTTGTCTTCGGTTATTGAGAATAGATTAATTTGGGCATTTAATCATAGAATTTTGAGTAGGGATTGAGGTTTGATTAATTTCTCAATGATGCTCCATATAGTACAAAGAATTTTGATATTTGTACTAACTCAGAGGAAGAAAGAGAAAGACATTGTAATATACATTGTTCGTTTAAGAATTATTCTAACGAAGCTTATGATTTGATTAGTTGTCAAGGCCATCTATCTCCATAACATGGAAACGAATTTAGATATACGATTATTGATTTTGTTGAACTTTTTCTTTGATTATGAGATGTCTCTCTCTTTTTCTTTTTTTTTTTGTTCTTTTTCTTTTAACACTGACTATAATGTATATCTTTGATATTGCAGAATCCTTGGGATGTCATTCATTTCACCGGAGGTGCCAAAATTCATTTAGACACCTTTTTATCGGTTTTTAACATATCTGGACTCCCTGGAGAATATTACCACAACAGTATGGGTTTTAAAGAATCTTTTTGATATACTAGCTCCTTCACTGATCTAGGTTTGAGATTGATGTTTAGAATCCTTGTTTAAAACTTGAAGCTGGTAAGCTATCGAATGATGGAGACATGTTCGTTGATGGACCAATAATAGCAGCCACAAGAACATTGCCCATTTGGTCAGATGGAGATCTCCCTCCAACTCCAAGTCTAGAGAGGAAAGTAGTGAAGGAGCTGCAAGAAGAATGCCACCAGATGCTTGCAGAATTTTCCACAACTGATGAAGACCAGAAAATCCTAGGTAAGCCTGGATTGTGTACTTCTATCTAATGATGAATGTTGGAAAAGAAATATAACTCCATCTTTTATGCGCTATGGTTGTCACCTTTATTTCATACTAAAAAACAATGAGGATTTATTTTGATATATTGAATTCAGAATCCATCAATCCTAGTATTGACTAACATCATAAGTTTTGGCTTTTGCCACGAATTACAAAGATTGTAGGCGTCATGCCCCATGTGGGCCAACACTGTTTACCACTTTTTGTTAATTTCATCTGTTGACTTTGTAACAATTGTCATTGTTCACGTCATAATATTGTCCAACAATGTATTCATTTTCTTGGTTTCTGTGAACAGATTCGATGCCTGAATGCAGTAGAACACTCGAAGCAGCAATAAAGTACGTAATATATAAATTATTATTTGTCATTGCATGCATAGATCATCTTATCTTTGCTTCAAAGTGAATGCAGATCTTATTTACATAATGCTTTCGTTTGGCAGGTATAGATTACATCAAAAATTACTGATAGAGAAGGTTATACAGGCCTTGGACATTTACCAAGACATGATTCTATTATAAACATGAAAAACAACAGGATATGAAGCAATCTTTACCAGAAATCATGTAATGTAGCCATAGCAGACGGCGTCAAGAATACGGTTCCATTTGCAGCTATCCAGAAAGTTTTATCTAACACAATAGATTTTGCAAGTCATTGTTAAGAACATTTTGAGGGCTTTTGTTGAGGGTGGGGGGTAGGAAGCAGGGGCGGAACTAGCTTGTACTAAGGGGGTTCATCCGAACCCCCTTCGGAGGAAAATTATATTAATTATACATGGTTAAAATAATTTTTATTTATATAAAGTAGATGTCGAACCCCCTTCGGCTACTTCGTGTGTCTATTTCTACAGATTTTGAACCCACTTATTGAAAATTCTGGCTCCGCCACTGGTAGGAAGTAGCTAGTAATGGTGTATAGGTGGAAAATTACTTGTACCACCAGTTTTGGAAAGATATGAAGTGAAGAAAACTAAAAGTTCTCTATAGAAATCATGATGAAAATGAAGGATAGTTTGGTGAATATGTTGTTAGGAAAAATATTACAATATTGATATTAGATTGGAATTTTAAAGTAATAAATAACTTATCATAAACACTGTGTCGTGGCAAGCCACTGCCTTGAAAGCGATTTCGGCTCGACTCCGGTGCAAATCGTTGTAGCCGGTCACTCCCCAATGTTCCACAGTTACTCTCAAACACATGTACTCGTGGATGAGAGTTTGGAGGTTGCTCAAAACCAATTGCCAAAAAAATATTCTAAGAATAAGAAGAAAGAAGGAAAATGTTTTCTTTTCTTTTGTTGGTTGTATGGTAATGTTCACAAAGGTCATGCTTATATAGGATTTGCCAAAGAGGAGTTTCAAAGTGAAGACTTAATTTGTATAACGCATATTGAATGTTAATGGCATTAAAAGTCATTACATCACATTCTACAGAAACTCTTCTTATGTTTTGGAACGGAAAAATAAATCTCTTTGTAACGTAATTTACTTTGTGTTCTTTGCATTACACAAAAATGAATAAAGGTAGAATTAATATCACAATCCCCACTAATGCAAAAATAAAGAGTAAGAATAAATTTTGGACAAAAGGAAGGAACATGTACTTAAGTGTCAATATCTTTCGATTTGAATTGACACGTAGTGATATGAGGCAACAACTTATTATCCGCAAAGTGAAGTACTCTTGAACTGAGCGGATATGAATTGAGACCCTCATAACACATACCATATCCTTAAATTTAAGCAACCTCCGCAATACAAAGTGCTTTTATGGTCATGCACACACACCTTGGGTCTTATGAGTGCTCTAGAAAGATGACCCAAGTCTTTCATAAAAGGTGACCACACCTTTACACTCACGTAGGTGATTCCATCAAGTCTATCTCAAATAGACCGCCTTACGGCTATAGAATCATTAAGAGCAAAATAAACTCAACCTTATAAAATACTGCCTCACGCCATATGGATTGAAAATGTGGTGTATATTGAGGCCTAACGGATCCACCAAACTAGCTCAATCAATGGGCTTTAGCCCCATCCCCCTTGATGTTTCAAGGATTATTTTCCTTGTCAAACCCTTGGTCATAAGATCCGCCAAATTTCTTTCGGACCTTACATATTCCAAGGAAATAACATCCAGTTTCAACAACTGTTTAACCGCATCATGTCTTATGCGAATATGTCTCTTTTTCCTATTGTAAACACTATTTTTGGCAATTCCAATTGCTGCCTGTGAGTCACAATGAAGAGAGACTGGTGAAGCTTGTCTTCCCCACAATGGCACATCCGCTAAAAGATTTCTCAGCCACTCAGCTTCTTGCCCTGCCAACTCGAGAGCAATGAATTCTGATTCCATGGTAGAACGTGCTATACAAGTCTGTTTGGAAGACTTCCACGAAATAGCACCTGCACCGAAAGTAAATACATAACCACTGGTGGAGCTAACTTCATCATTGTGAGTTACCCAATTTGCATCACAAAAACCTTCTAAAACACCAGGAAATTTGTTAAAATGCAAACACTAATTCATAGTACCTCTCAAATACCTTAGCAACCGATGAAGAGCATTCCACTCTTCACTACTAGGATTATGAGTATATCTACACAGTCTACTAACAACATAAGCTATATCAGGCCGAGTATAGTTCATGAGAAACATTACACTCCCAATTATTTAGCATATTAAGTTTGAGAAACACTAGATTCTTTATTCTTCCTCAAGTGTATGCTAGGATCATAAGGAGTTCTCACTGGAACTACATCATCAAAACAATCAAATTTTTTCAACATCTTTTTAATGTAATGAGACTGACACAAAGAGAAACCATTAGTAGTTCTTTTGATTTTAACTCCTAAAATCACATCTGCTTCACCAAGGTTTTTCATTTCAAATTTAGAAGACAAAAAGTTCTTGGTCTCATTAATAACATTCACATTATGACCAACTATTAACATGTCATCCACATATAAACATATAATGACACAATCCGAACATATCATCTTCGAATAAACACAGGTATCAGATGAATTCACAACAAAGTCATTATCCACTAATGTGATATTAAATTTTTCATACCATTGCTTAGGTGCTTGTTTTAGTGCATACAAGGACTTCCTCAACTTGCATACTTTATCCTCTTGTCCTGGAACTACAAACCCCTCAGGTTGAGTCATATAGATCTCTTCCTCTAAATCACCATTTAGAAATGATGTTTTGACATCCATTTGATGTACCACTAAATCATGAATAGTGGCTAAAGCAATAACAGTCCTAATGGTCGCTATTTTAGTCACATGAGAATATGTATCAAAGTAATCAACACCTTTCTTTTGGTTAAAACCCCTAATCACAAGTCTAGCCTTATATTTATCAATTGTACCATCAGGTCTCAATTTCTTCTTAAATATCCACTTGCTACTTATGGGTTTACAACGTTTAGGCAAATCATACAAGTCCCAAGTGTGATTAGAAACTATAGAGTCCAATTCACTTTTAATAGCCTCTTTCCAAAATATAACATCTATTGATCTCATTGCTTCATCATAAGTCTTAGGGTCTTCTTCTATTAAATAGATAGACACTAATCCATCATTTAAAATATTAATATCAAAATTTTCAGTTAAGAAAGTAATGATAAAATTAGGATCAAAAGTAGTCTCAATTCTATGTCTCTTACTCCTTCTAAGTTCATTTTCATGCTCATTAGAAATAACATTAGATGAAGGTACAACATGAGAATTAACAGACATAGATGTAGAAGCATTATTTTGCACATCACTCGGCACATTATTTTTCAAAGGAAAAATATGCTCAAAAAATTCTGCATCTCTAGATTCACAAATAGAATGATCATTGAGAGATATAAATCTATATGCAGCATTATTTTGAGCATAACCAATAAAGATAGAATGATAAGTCTTAGAACCAACATTTACTCGTTTAAATTCAGGTAGACCAACCTTAGCCAAACACCCCCACACTTTCAGAAATTTTAAGTTAGGAGCAAACCATTTCCACAACTCATATGAGGTCTTGTCTAACTTCTTATGAGGGACTCTATTAAGAATATAGCATGCAGACAAGACTACTTCTCCCCACATATTTTCAGATAGACCAGAGCTTAAAAGCATAGAATTCATCATTTCTTTAAGGGTTCTATTTTATCATTCAGCTACACCATTTTGTTGGGGAGTATAGGGAGCACTAACCTCATGTATAATACCATTTTTCTCACAAAAATCTTCTAGAGTTTTAGTACTATATTCACCTCCCCTATCAGATCTAAATCTCTTGATTTTCCACTTCTGCTTTGAATTTCAAAAATATGTTTTCACCCTCATCTTTAGAATTAAGAAGATATACCTTAGTGTATCTAGAAAAGTCATCAACAAAAGTAATGTAATACTTTTTCCACCTTTGCTAACAGTGTTCTTGAAATCTGCTAAATCTGCATGTATTAGTTCAAGTAATTCGGTCTTTCTACTAATAACATATTTGAAAGGTTTCTTGGCATGCTTTGCTTCTACACACAGAGGACATTTAGAAAACTCATCAGTTTTTATCATAGGAATTAATTCCATTTTTCTAAGTCTTTTAATAGAAGCAATATTAACATGACCTAGTCTACCATGCCACAAATTCATAGCCTCAACAATATAAGCAGAATTTGAAATACTTCCATTATTGACAATCTCTTGAACAATGTTCAATACAAATAATCCTCCACTAAGATATCCCTTCCCAACAAAGTCTCCTCCACGAGAAATGACTATTTTATCAGCTTCAAAAATAAGTTTAAGGCCTACTTTGTGGAGAAGTGCTCCGGAAACTAAGTTTCTACGGAGGGAGGGAACATATAAAACATTGTTCAAGGATAATATCTTTCCAGAAGTTAATTTAAGTAAAACTTTTCCTTTACCCGTTACTACAGCAGTAGTGGAGTTACCCATATATAAACACTCGCCATCAGTGGACTCCTCAAAGTCATGGAATAAATTCTTATTGGCACAAAAATGCCTTGAAGTGCCTGTGTCTAGCACCCAGTCAGTTTTGTTAGCCACCAGATTTGCCTCAACGACTACAGCAACAATCACTTCATTACCCTTAGCAAGATGAGCTTGGACATCACTTTGTCCTTCCTGCTTTGAGTCCTTCCCCTTTCTTTGATAGCACTTGGCAGCCCTATGACCAAGTTTTCCACAGAAAAAATAAGGACCCTTAGATTTTTGAATTTGGCTCTCCGGCTTGTTAAATTGTTTTTTCTTCTTCACATGTTCATTTTCCAAGACTTTCTTCTGTTTGCCTTTGAACCTGCCTTTCACAACAGTACCAAAAGATTCAACAAGATTAGTTTTAGATGAATTAAGAGAAAGTGTTTCCATTTTATCTTTGAGACGGTTCGCCTCTTCAGTCCTCATATGACTGATAAGTTTTTGCAGAGTTAAAAAAATTTTCTTATGTTTTAATTGATTTCTATAATCACTCCAAGATGGT